TATTCAAACTTGTCTACTTTATATTGTGTTTGTAACAGGTACAATAACTATTGAAGGTATTCAAGTATCACACTCACTGAACACGGAATAAATAATGTCAACTGTTAATACTTGTATATTGTTAGAGATCAGTGTATGTATTATTCTTAGTACTGGAACTAATAACTGAATGTCCTAGTACAGTACTCACAACTTAGTTTATAATGATTAATGTTGCAACATATAAGTGGCGCATTCTGTGATGTACTAATTGTTATATACTATAGTCCTCAGAATTATTTATATGACTGATTATAATTAATAATAAATTAATGTACCTGTGGATATTACTGGGATAAAATAGTGGGAACATGAACCTAAATTTGTTTCTGTATAGTAAAAATAGCTATTAATTATATGAAACCAATATTTGTAATTATTTATATAAACAACTTAATATTGAACCTTTGTTAATGTTGTGATGGCAACGTTTGGGTATCAACTTGTATTTGAAAGCTTTTAAATACTGTCTTCACCCATGTTGTAGCACATTACTACAATAAAGACTGTACCTACCTCAACACTAGTATTTTACTGTTTTTTCATTATTCTAAGTTAAAATTGTCAATCAATACTTTTGTGTAACATTTGTACAGACACAAGATGAGTTTGTTATGTATGTGTAAGATAATAAAAAATAAATGAACATCGCCGGTGTAAAATGGTTGTATGGATAAAATATATTCCGAGTGACGCTGCTGACTCTGCAGAACGAACACCAAGCCGTGTGAACCAGAAGATTCCTGATACAACACAAGCAATGGAATGTCATTCCTATCCTAACATCGGGGCAATAGGTTGTAAATTTTAATATGTAATTCTCATTAATATACATTTAAGTAAGTTTCGTAGTTTTCCTGGGACCTCCGGTTGCTACCCTATATAATTAGTTAGTTTCCTTTTTACTACAATCGTAAAACTAAATATGTTTCATTTTGTCAATAATATGGATAAAGATTTGTTATGAAAACACTTTGTTTGTGATGTTGATGATGATTTGAAATGAATACTTCGATAGCTTTTAGATTGGTTTAATGATGATGACCCCTTTACAATTATTGGTAATGAGTTACGAATAAAGCGTATATAAAATTAGAAGTGAAGTATTAGCGAATTTTAAGTGAGAATATATAGACACCCAGCCCCGCTCCCCACCCCATCCCATCCCGCGCTCGTCGTCTGTCGGTGTGGCCAGTGCGAAGCGGTGTTGCCGGAGTAAAAATTAGATGCGTAGACACTTTTTTTTATTGTTCATGTTATTATCTTCACATTTATACTAATTAATATAATACTAAAGATAAAGATTTAATTATTTTTATTAAAAATTCGATACAAAGTTTCTTTCTCTTGTTGCCCTGTATATTCGCTATTACTCATTCAAATGTATACAATATAACACTTACCTTACAACTTACCAACAAAATGGTATTTAATTTAAGATTTATTCTGGCAAATTGGGAAAAAAATTATATTGATTAGTCTTGGATCGAATTAACAAGCCAGGTAACCAATAAATCTAAAGCAAACTAAGAAATGGATAATATAAAGGAACGCATGAACAACCAAAGTCACAATAAAGTAAAATATTCTCTCAGATTTACAAAATTCACAGACACTGACTGAATACCATGAGAAATTGAAATTATTTTATAAACCGCCATCTATTGGCAAGTAGTTACAACCCCGCTAATTTGACGCTCAACCCATTATAGGTGGCGCTGCATTCTAAACTTTTTAATTTATTTATTTATTTATTTATTTAGGAACACCAACAGCGTACATATACAACATTTACACAAAAAAATATATCCAAAACTAAAGGTCTACATACGTACACCTATTACAGGTGTTCACAGCATTGCCTAAAAAATTGTTTAAAAACAACACCTTAATCTAATTATATTATATTACATTTACAAGAAAAACACTATTAAATAAAAAAAACACTAATTAATAAAAAAACACTAATTAATAAAAACAACACAAATTAAAAACGAAAAGTTACAATTTTAAATATATTTTTTCAAGGTATGTCTGAATTTAGTAGAAGATTCGCGAAACATGTCCAAGTCTGTTATATCTTTATTTAGTGAATTGTAAAGGTTGCACATCCTCGCAAGCGGAGAATGCGCACCTAGATTTGTTCTAACTTTAGGATGGTAAAAAATTTTTGTTATGCGTTGACGAGGAATTTTATTGGGTACCGAAATTGTCAGCTGAGCTAGTAGATGGCTGCTATCTATGATACCATTTACGATTTTAAACATGATCATCAAATCATGAATAGATCGTCGAGCATGCAAGCTCTTCATGCCAAAATGAATTAGACGTTGTTCATACGGGCATCTGAATGATATTTCATGAGAATGAAATGCTAAGTAACGAGTAAACGCTCGCTGGACTCGCTCGATGCGCTGACTGTGTACACTATAAGTTGGATTCCATATCGATGAAGCATACTCTAACTGGCTACGGACGAATGCGTTAAACAGTATAATTTTGGTGTGGGGATTTTTAAACATCTTTGTATTGCGTTTTAAAAACCCTAGCATTTGCATAGATTTTTTAGTTATGCAATCTACATGGGGCACAAATGTCAGTTTATTATCAATTGTAACACCTAAATCCCGAATTTCGTTAACCTTTGTAAGAGAAATTTCGTTAATGTTATAACATGTTACAATTGGCAACCTCTTCCTAGTGAATGTTATGTACGAGCATTTACTAACATTTAAATCCATCAGATTATCTTTACACCATGCATTTATGTTGTTTATGTCATTTTGCAATAAGGTTACGTCAAGTTGAGAATCAATTAATTTGTATATTTTTAAATCATCTGCAAAAAGAGAGAACTTACAGTGCTGAATTACCATAGTTATGTCATTAACGAATATTGAAAATAAGATGGGACCCAGGTGCGAGCCCTGGGGAACGCCCGATTCCGCATAATACGCTTGGGATTCGTATCCATCTACTGCCACTACTTGAGATCTTTTATCTAGATAAGAGGCAAGCCACCGCAGCAATGAACCATTTATACCTATTGCCTGAAGTTTTGTAATAAGAAGAAGATGGTTGACTTTATCAAATGCGGAACTAAAGTCAGTGTATACGGCATCCACCTGCTTACCTTTGTCAACGTCGTAGATAATGTCAGATATAAAAGTCAAGAGGTTTGTCTCCGTAGAGCGACCGCGCTTGAATCCATGCTGATCAATAGAAATGTCAGATCCAGCAAATGATGATATCAAGGGGCTTACAAGAGATTCGAATAATTTTGAAAAAGAGGATAATATAGATATTGGGCGATAGTTTTTTACGTCACATTTATCCCCTTTTTTGTAAATAGGTATAATTCTCGCTCTTTTCCATTCCGTTGGGAAACAACCGCTTTTTAAGGATTGATTGACAATTATCATAAATGGAAGAGCCAACACAGATGCACAACGCCTTATGAAAAGTGGATGCAATCCGTCTGGTCCAGGTCCTTTGTGAATATTTATACATTTCATTTTTTTCAAAATTTCATTTTCAGAGAAACTTATTTTTGACATATTTTTTCCACTACCCAAGTGGAGAGGCCTGCCAGAGGGAATTGAGTTACGACAAAAGACTGAAGAAAAATGTTGAGCGAATGTATTGACTATCTCTATACCACTATGGGCACTGTTTCCATTAAGGTATACTGAGTGAGGAATAACAGATTGTCCCTTTCTTTTATCCTTCATAAACCGCCAAAAGTGTTTTGAGTTTTTTATTATGTTTGACTCAACGTTAGTACAGTAATGACTATAATTTATTTTAAGTAGGCTATCACAACGTTCTCTTAGTAGTTGGTATTCTATTAAGTCTCGCGGATTTTTATATTTACGGTAATGGATTCTTAATTTATCCTTTTCTTGAAGCAACTTAATAAGTGATATGCTAAACCAAGACGGGAATAATGATTTTTTGTATTTTCTTTTTGGTACATGTTTCACAATAACATTATTTAATATTTCGTAAAAAATCGACAATACATCATCCACGTTTGTAATATTTTCAAATTCGTTGTGCCAGTTATAAGATTTTAGTTCGCTTATTATCTCTGTGTAATTTGCCTTAAAAAAATTAAAGTCAGCACGACCCATTGAACGAAAGCAATTGTTGTTATTAATATTATTAAAAATCGGTAAGTTTATCAAAAGTGGAGGATGTTTGTTATCGACTTTACTTAAAACATTTAAGGGACCAGTTACATGTATATCAAGAATATTACTCAATACAATATCCAGCATTTTACCATCAATGTTAACGATATTATTGTACTGGCGAATGCTATTCATTGCCATGAAATCAATTAACAAATGACCTAACTGATTATTGCTAATATTATGGGGCTCTAAATCGTTATTATTACCGACTTTATTCCACTGGATAAAGCCAAGATTAAAGTCACCAATTATAATTACATTTTCAAACATATCAGCTATCTTATTGATATTATCAAGGAACTTATTAGTGGCCTCGAAGTTTGCTGGAGGAGGTAAGTACACCGCACATATATGAATCCTTTTTATCGCTTTATTAACCTTAACATTGATACATACCCAAATATCTTCAAGATCAGTCTCATAGTTCTCAACTCGAGATGATGATATTTCTTTAGATACGGCTATTAGTACTCCTCCGCCATCACGCTTAGAGTTGGCGCTACATTTACGATCCTTACGATATACAATATAATTATTGCTAAAGATTTCACTGTCAACAATATTTTCGTTTAACCATGTTTCAGTTAAGATAATGATTTTGTATCTACTAATCAATATATTATTGTAAACATCATTAATCTTTGTACGTATACCTCGGATATTTTGGTAGTAAATATCTAAGTCCAAAGCCATTGAGATCAGAAATAAAATATAGCAAAGTTGACAACAAGAAAAAAAAATTAATAATAATAATAACATAACTTATTAACTTATTAGATCCAGACATTTGGTATTGCGAATATGTATCTTCTGCGAGTGCTCGTTCTTTCTAACAAAGATTCGGCCATTACGCACCCACGTGAATGTGTACGACTGCTCCTTAGCTTTTTTACGAGCCGCGGCATGTAGAGATTTTGTTGACGGCGTAAGATGTTCCGAAACAAAGATAGGCCCATGAGGTGCAGCATATCCCAAATGCTTAGATGAGAGTTTATCATTGGGATGCCCTCTGTTAAATTTGGTTATTGCAGCTAGTAAATTGTCACGGAGACGAGGTGAACGTAATTTGGCTATAACAGTCCTTGGTTTTTTATTCTCTTTATCGAGCTTAGCTACTCTAGTTATATTCATTATGTCGTCGTCATGGAGCGTGCACTCGACTGTTTTAGCCAATTGCAATAACGTTGTACTCAGTATCTCAGATTTGTGTTCAGGAATATTATTGATTTCAACGTTACACTCTCGTAGATATTGTTCCGCTGTGTTCAATCTGTTCGATAAATCAGTAACAGTACCAGTAAGTTTTTCATTGTCGACTTGTAGCTTTCGAATCATATTTGACTTTTCTTCCAGTTCTTTCTTCATCTCTTCATATTTAGCATTAAAGAATGAAAGTGAATCCTGAAAGCCAGATACGTATTCTTTAATGTCGACTAGTTGTTGAGAAACTAATTCCGTTATCGAAGACTTCATGGCTGCTGTTACCTCCTTCTTGATAATATCGGCTATATTAATCATGACATTATTTGATACTATTTCCTTTTCAATCGTAATTCCTTCATTTGGATCACATATCAATTTATCTCCCACTTTTGACTTGCTTCGAAAAGTCACATTACCTTCAACATCCTGACAATGCTCGCTTAATTTTGAAGGTGCAATTTTAGGTGTATTCAATAAATGTTCCTGAGCCTTTTGCTCCTTCACACGACAAACTGAGCAGCGCCAGTTTTGTTTATTTTCACTCGTCATGGTTGAAAACTTTTTAAAAGGAATACTTGCACAAACCAAATCGTATCGAAAATTGCACTTCATACATGACATAAATTCTCGGCCTTGTATTGGTTTCTGACAAGAATTGCATTTTGCCAGTGTCGGAGTCATTTTACAATAATAAGTCAAAAACGTATATTAGTGTAATTGCTTCCACAAGAAATCAGGCGCAAAATATAATGAAGTTGAGTTTTTACGTAGGGTATATCTGAATAAAATTACACAGTTAACAAGCACAATTAAACCAAAAATCCACTTGGTATCACTCAATTTGCACGATTCTTTTTACAAATAATTATACAATAATATTACTACAATAAGTTTATACACTTTTCTTTCAAGTAAATTAACTTTAACACTGATTTTACTGTTTAATTAATATGGAGCTATGTACTAAGGTGTTATCGCGTTCGCGGCGTTGACGTCTTAGAATATTGTAAAGAATTTACATAGTCCTGGTTTTTATCTCTCAGCCTGAACTGTTTAATATATGTATGTACATAGATGTGGGGTTGGATAAGCAGAATGTTTGGAAAAAAAACTATTTTCATCATAATTTCCTCCTCTAAAACATTGATTATATTCGCACAGCGAATAGTTACAGCGGTCCGAAAACAACTAACATCTATAATATATTGTGTACCTTGAAACTATTACGATCTGTTTAAGAAAATTATTTAAAAGGGAATATCCAGTGGAGATCCAAACATTCTTATGTGAAATAAACAAACAAGGAAAGGCTTTTTGGTGTGTACACAACCTGCTAATTATAACTATCTTATTACTTTTTATTGAAACGAATAACATTACCTTTCTTTAAGTTCCACACATCTTCCCTTTGTAATTATTTTAGTTTTATCATCAAAGGACAACATTGAAAATGTACTCGTTGTTAATTTCGTTAAACACATATCACCAGTACAGAGCTCACAGCTTAAATTTTGCTTAATTTGTTAATAAATCAGATAATTAACTAAATAAACTTCTGCTTAGAAAGAAAATATTAACAAAATGGCAAAAAACACTTAAGCGACATACCGACAAATTTGATTATCCCTTTTCATTTGACAATCGAATCAGTTTCTATGAAGTTTTAAACGAGTAAGGTTAAGGAAGTAGTGGTGACCGAAAGCAAAGCAGTGCCGAAAATGTGAGTTTTTGCGTTTCTCGTTTCTCATTCAACAATACGTTAATACTATAACGTGTGAAAATTTATCAAAGAAACACTGTTAACGCTCCGTACGTAGTGACGATGTTAAGTAAGATTAAACATAGATTGAGTCCGTTAGGGATTATAATAAGATAATGTAAAAATAAATGGGTTGAAATCAAAGTTGGTGGTTTATAATTATAACGTATTTAGTTATATTATATTATTGGTCGTTTATGAATGTACGTGATTAATTCAATATAGGATACAACCTTTAAAAGTGAGAAGTTTAATATTAATGGGTTAATGAGTAGGAATCGTTGTTAGACATAGGACCGAGTGACATCACAAGCCACATATAAAATTAATTTTATTATTTATCAAACAAATAAAGTCTTTCAGTTCAAAGTTCATTTAATATTATATAAATCATATTATTTAGCTTTCACAATATCTTTATAATACTTGGCGGAGGCTCTCGGGCGGCGGGTGCGGGCTGGGTCATTGAAGTCCACCTCGTATAAACCGAATTTGGAACTGAAAAGATTATTATTATTATCAGATTATGAACAGAAGAAAATCCAAAAACATTTTGAAAACAATATCTTTACCGATAGCCATCGCTCCATTCAAAGTTGTCTAACATTGACCAAGCAGTGTACGCCACGACATTGGCCTTATCTTCTTCAATCGCGAGGAGAACCTGGTGGAAGATATTAGTTAGAATAATAACATACTTGTTTTATTTATCCATCTTGATTTCATTTTTTGTATTAATCACCTGTTCCAAATGCTTCTTATGGTAATCTATACGATCTTGATCATCTAAATCCTCGCCGCTGGTTGCGAAACCATTCTCTGTTATAAACATCTCCATGTTTCCATACTGTTTCTTCAACCAAAATATGAGCTTTCGGAAACCTTCCGGGTACACCTGGAACACGAGTTAGTTGCTTTTTTATTGTTTCAATCACCACTTGGCTGTCTACATTACTCTTCAATAAACACGTATGACGTAGGATCAGTTTCCAGAGACAGTGTTCAGCCTCAATGAGTCTTACAACTGTATATAGTAACAACAACACTCACATAGAACCAGCTAGCCAGCTTGCGGCCATTCTGGTCTCACTGATATTATTACATCAATGTCTGGTCCACCGAAGAGAGGCCAAGGACCAACAGCTTCCCCTCGGGCGAGGCGAGCAGTTCGTGATGTGTAGTAGTTCAAACCGTACAAGTCATACTTGCCTTTGAAAAATTCAATAAAAAAACTTTGAAAGGGACGCCTATTGCTATTTATATGGCTTTCTTATAACTTTACTTATAAATTATAATTATTAATAGAAATTCTTAGTTTTAGTATTAATTTATGTAACGATTAGACTATTTACATTTTATTCTCACCTCTTATAAGTTTTTTTTCTTCTTTTGTAAATTCTGGTAATCTGGATTTCGGGAATCCCTGTTGTTTACTCTTTTCTGCTATGAGTTTTTCTATTTTCTTTGGCCAACCGCCTTCCTTTGAGTAGATTGGGTGTGAGTACAGTCCTCCCTGAAATTGTACGACATTAAATATTTTCAATGATTTGAATTAAATTTCAAAAGTATTTAGTGACACTATTATTTTTGTTTAGTTTTTGTGTTTTCACCATTAACTGTAGAGTCAGTTCAGCCGCTTCTCCTTCATTTTCATCATCTCCCTCAAACCACATGACTTGATAGGTGATGGACACTTTGCCTTTAAAATATAATGTAATACATTTGCATATGTATGCAGAATTAATTCAGAAGAACCTAGAGATTTTATTAATTAACAAAAAATCAAGTACCTAAAGTATTTTTTATAAATTCATATAATTCTTTTACCTTTATATTTTCGTCTAAACTCCTTGTCATATATCCGCCATGCTTTAGCGTGTGCCAACATTGTGTTCTTGCTGCAGATATAATTTCCAACTCCAGTGCTAACTATTCCTGGAGCGTGAACTCCAAAAGTGTAAGCAACGTCACAAAACGTCAGCGGTTCATTGAGAGTGATCCAAGTTTCGACTCGGTCAGCGTATAGAGTGAACACAACACGAGCGTAGTCCGCAAACCAATCTGATATTAAAGGATTGGTCCAGCCGCCTGTGAATTATAACTTAGATTAACAAACATTTCATATAATGCTATAAGCTTGTGTAGAATGCACTGAAAGGTAAGGATTCTTATTGATGAACATTTAATTTACAAGATTTATTTAAAGTTCCTGATTTATAAGATTAGAACTCATTAATATTTATTCATCAATATGATTTGCCGTTTGTCCATGAATTCAGGTGTATTTAAATAAAAAACGGAGTTAAGCTTGAGGTCAGTATATTCACTTGAAGGGCGTAATCTTAAGAGAGTGAATAACAAAAAAGAAACTGCGTCGGTAGACATAAAATAATACAGAAAGATTAATAATATGAGCAATCACGGTGCACAATGATGTTGCTATTGAATTTTAACAGGAGTTATTAAATTAGCAAGTATAATTAGTATGTGATTTTTAGACATGCCCCCAGGCGTTGAAAGCACCTCTTTCAACAATCTTCAGGTTGTGGCAATAGGCATATTTTGCTGAATGCCCTCCGAACAATTCCATTTGCAGTCCTTACATCTGCTACTCGAATAACACCATCGGCTCCTGGGTACACATTGACAATTCGACCCAACTTCCATCTGAGCGGTGGTAGATTGTCATCCTTCAGAACGACGAGACTGTTCAGTTTAAGTTGGTTTTCGGATTTTTGCCATTTCATCCTCATCTGAAGACCCGAGAGATACTCTTTACTCCATCGCTTCCAAAACTGTTGACGGAGTTGCTCAAGTCTTTGATAACGCTTCAGCTTGTTGATGTTTTGAGCTTCGTAATTTGGAGCCGGCAGTGAAGTCAACGAGCGTCCGATGATAAAGTGTCCGGGTGTAAGAGGCAATAAATCTGCAGGATCTGTAGACATGTAAGTTAGTGGCCGGGAATTCAGTATGGCTTCGATTTGTACCAATACAGTATAAAGCTCCTCGTATGTAAGATTACAATTTCCCAGTACTCTTTGTAAATGATATTTTGTGGACTTGACACCTGCTTCGCTCAAGCCATTATAATGTGGTGCATAAGCTGGAGTAAAATGAAATTTGATGCCTTCATCGGCAACAGTCTCAGATAAAACATCACTATTGGTTTTAATAAAACTTGCAATATCGTTGCACGCGCCAACAAACGAAGTACCGTTATCAGAGTAAATATTTTTAGATTTCCCCCTACGAGACATAAATCTACGCAAAGCTAACAAGAAACAATTGCTCGTTAAATCACCAACTAATTCGATGTGCATTGCTTTAGTAGAAAAACATACGAAAACTGCAATATACGCTTTTAGTAATCTACTTCCACGACCTTGTCGACTAACAATCATAATTGGACCAGCATAATCGATTCCTACGTCCTCGAAAGGATAACTGACAGACACACGCTGTTGTGGTAAATTTCCCATTATAGGTGCAACTACCTTAGGCTTTAATCGAGCACACCGGATACATTGTCGATAACATAACTTGGCCAAATTCCTACCTCCTATTGGCCAAAATGATTCCTTAATCGTACTCAGTAATAGTTGCGGACCTGCATGTAATAATCGTTTATGCTCATAATGAAATAACAGTTTAGTAAAAGGATGTTTCGAATGAATCAAAATCGGATGTTTTTTATCAAATGTAAAGTTGCCATGTTCTAAACGGCCTCCAACACGAATAATTTTAAAATCATCGAGGAATATATTTAATTTGAGTAACGCGTTTTTAGCAG